TGTACGTACAAATATTGCAATTAATACTAGAAAATATCGTTCATTTTTCCCAGTTTCAAATGATTGAGGAGAAGTAGGTTTATGAATAAACCATATCTAAAATTTATAGCAGAGTATCGAAATAACGTAACATAGAGGGTAAGCAACATAAAAATGGCTTAAAATGTTCCAAATTGTGCCCGTTTAAAAAAAAATTAGTTTCTAAAATGTTTCAATAAATTGGTAGTTTTGAACCCTTCGTAGATTTTGCTTATATTTGGTATAAGTAGTGTATATCAATGAATAACATCTGAAGTATATCGAAAATTCTATAGCATAAGTATATCAGTGATATAAAAAATGGATTAAAAAATAATGAACATCAAAAATAAAATTAACGAATTCTAGCAAATTAAAAAAATGGGTAGTATCTTAGTTGTTGCATACATTTGACGCTCATTATATATCAAAATACTTGAGAAACTTGAGATAAATCTCTGATTCAGCATGTGCTTTCTCGCTATTGATCTGCGAAGTGATTTTCAAGCGTGTTGAAAAAAAATTGTCATTTTGCATTCTTTAAATTCGATTTTGACCCTCTGTAATTTCGTAACAAAGCATTTTTATTCAATCGTTTAAGACAAACAAGAGTTAGATTTTTACGTAAAATTCGTGGATAAAATAATGTCATTTTCCAATTAATTACTTTAGTACATAACTAACATTCACCTATTAAGTACATTCTATAGATTGAAATATTAGAAACAATTTTTATAAACATCCTAGAAATTAGTTGTTAAAGAGACGAGAACCTTTAGAAGACAGATGTTTTGAGAACATTTGCCAAATTAGACATTTACCTTACGAAATTCTCAGTATTTATTATGATGGAAAAACACATTTTTATGGTGAACACTCTACGCTGTCCAAAATCAACTCAGATGCAGTTTTTTGCTTAAAAGCATTGCCGCAAGTTCAGTGCCTAATCTACGAAAAAAAGCTGCCTTCTAAAAGGTAAAAATTCTTGTTTTACGAATTTACAGGAAATCGAAATTTAATTTTTACAATAAATCATAAATTTCTTCCAGACGCCAGACCTTTTGACGATTTTTTTGCAAGATCAATAGCGAACAAATACTTACGCGATCAAACAGAGGTTTACCTTCAGCATTTTAATATACAGTTAAAACTACCCGTTTAGGTATGGAAAATTTGCTGGAACTAGACAATTTTTAACTTTCTAAACAGTGTTTTTTCATATTAATGATCTTCTATGTTACAGACTTTTGATGTTTTCCAAATATTATTCATTCATATACAGTGCTCTCGTTAACTTTTTTACAGTTTTTAACTTTTTAGATATTTTTTTTATAATACATGTTCTATGCTACATAATTTTGCTCTCTATGGGATTCAAAACTATCCATTAAAGTATTGAGAAGTTGCTAGACTCCGTTAAATTTATTTTTAAATGCGCACAATTTGCAAGTTTTAGCCATTTTTCATATTGCTTACCCTCTGTGTTTTGATGTTCTATTATAGATTTAGGATAATAGTCAGTCATACTACGTACTTTCTCTAAAACCGGGAAAATTTCTAGGATTAATCCTTAACTTTTGATAGTGACAAGTCCACTTTTACAATTTTTTTTCCACACGAGGATTTAAAACAACAGTTTTAATGGAACAAAATACAAACTTATTTTCATTGTTCATTCATCACAGGCAATTATTTTGCAATCCTGTACATAAGTATGCATATGCAGTAGACCCTGTATTTATATCAAATAGATAATCATAAATCATACTAGGGACATTTCTTTTTAACCACCGTTATCATGGCGCTTATAACTGAGTTGTGCTAATTAAAATGCTTATAAAAGCAAATAGTTATCATTGAGCTCAGGCAATCATGAACGCATCACTGTGTGCCTTTACGTTTAATCTTGTTAAGGATTATACGAAAAAAACTATAGAACTGTGGGCGTTAACATCTAAAATGATCGTCAATTCGGGGTAATCAAGCAAATAGCCATTTAGTTAGATAGTATTAAGGGAAATTATTTTTTTAAATATAACATCATGCCAGGTAAACGGCTGGCAAATAATCCCTCAAGTGAAATAATAGCAATAAAATTACATAGCAATTAAAAATAAAAATGATCCCATCACTCGCTGTTTTGTGGCAACTTAGCTTTTATCGGATTTTTCAAGCAATGTAGGTATAAGTATGTGTAGAAATGTGTTCTACTGGAAACTAAAGTTTCTTTCCACCGTCTTTTCCCTATACTTTCTATGAGGGTTCCCTAAATTTTAATAATTACATAAATGACTCAGTCTTGGAAGGAAATGTACATAACAAAACATCGAAAGTGCATGAATATACCCAACAGTCGCGTATGCGACACGTCGAGACATGATTCTGCAACAGGATTAGCCAAGATTCATCATCAAGAACAGTCGCTTGTTAATAATGTAGTTGTGATGCGGAGGTATTAACTGATAAACCTGCTATTGTATTACTTACATTTGTATATGTAAATACGGAGATCTAGCAGTAAGCAAAATAAACATAAATCAATTGGGTGAAAATGTATGATGATTCATTCCGGAAATATACATAGACTACTATCTAGTAAATCCCCCGTTATAAATTTTGCTGTTTTCTTGCTTTACCTAATCAATGAAATTGGCAAATTCTCAATACTTCCGGATAATTCCTTTGTTTTCTCAGAAATCTTTGAAAAATATTTCGCTATTTAATTAGTTGAGTATAAAATTTGGCAATTTTTCCAAACTTTTAACTGATCTCGAATTCTACACACCCTGTACATGTAAAGTGACTTGGGTTAACGAAGCTTACATCCTTATTGAAAATGAAATAATTACTGCCCATTGGGATTAGTTCAGCATTATTACGCTCTCAATTAGACGAGAGCTATCTATTGTAAAATGTTGCAAAATCATATATTATTATTATGTTATCTTCAACTTTTGGCCTAATGTTTACAAACGTTTTTCAATTTTGCATTAAATGATGCAAGTATTTAATTGGGCTAGAATAAACTTATTGAAACGTTTTTAAAACGAGCAAATTGGAAATTTCCCGAAGCGATATTTATTAAATAATTAACAATTTTCCTAGTTAAATGTAAAGCGGTTATCGCGGGGAAATCCCCATCATATTGATTACCTAATTGCAGCACCAGCATTTACCTACATTTAAAGATATTTGTGTAGTTAATAGCGCTCGAATCGAAAGTAATTTTTTATTAGATTCCACAAACCCATAAATTTAAGAGTATCATTACATTAATCTGGTTTCAATGAATATTGGCGCCTACATACTTAGCCTATTTTCGATTAAGGTATTGTTTATGCTAAAAACCAATAACCTTTGAGCCGATATAGGAGAGTCACGTGATCGGCAATTTTAAATTTAGATAATCCCTCATTTACCGCAAAAGAAAACAGACGACGATTTACGGAGAAAAACGTAGCCGTGCGTGCATACTGACAGTCACTAACTCAGAAATTAACAATTCGTTGTAAACTGATAAACAATCAAACGTTTTAAATATTTAGATGAATTATATTCCTGCAATAACATGAAAGTTCATGTGAGTTATTAAAAAGAGCCAATTATAAAGTGATGATTTCCATACAAAATACTTGTTGCCTTAGAGGTTTTCAGATGAATCCACCTAATTATAGAATTGTTTGTTGTGGAATGAGTATTTGCATAGAGTTTTGTCAAATTTAGTCAATTTATTGCATTATAGTGGCTGGAAATTTATGAAACTTTGTATCTAGATGCTTTAGCCCTGGTTCATAGATGCAACTATGAAGAAACATATCAATGTCTATTAGAGAGGGATTTTTTTCGATTTTATTGACGATTGCTACAGCTTCTGCTATGGAAAAAATACTGTGCTCCTAACAAAAGTCGTTCTATCCAACTCTCGTTACATGGAGAGCGGTAGTGTGAAAATCTCCAAAAAAACATTTTTTGTCTACCTAGCAAAAGTTATTCTTTAAAAAACGCGCAATTTACTTTCACTTTCAAAAAAATTAGGGTTTCTTTGATCGTGCTGTGCTGTGATTACGATTTAAATTCGCACTCTTTTTTATTTCAATTTGTCCCTTTGCCAAAATATTATTTTACCAAACAAACTTATCTTTCTTAATTGTACATTATCTGAATCATAATGAATGCCAACACATTTACTTATCATTGTGCTGTTTATTTTGACACAAATTTACTTCAATGCTGCGTTTAGATTGTGTGCATTGTGGCTGTTTTCTCACTTGTCCGTTATTGATCACGTGTTTTGGGCATTTTTTCAAAATCAAGAACTATGACAATAAGAGTTGTTCCAAACGATTTGAGGCCAATGGATTAAATGTAAAAAAGTCGTATAAAAAAAATAAAAATTAAATTGATGTTTGATTGATCATTCAAAGTTCCCATGAAAGCTAAAACATTTAAGTTCTAAAGATGTTTAGATAAGTTGAATTAACCACTCACAAATAAAGGAAAATTTTGCAGCAAAACACGGGGACTCCCGAGTTTAATTACGAAACAAATTGTCATTTATTTTAATCTTTTAAACCAACATCGTCACCAATGATTGATAAGGATTCTTGATAATTGAAAATCATTTGTGATTGTTTAAGATTGAAAATTGAGCTGTGACCAATTTGTTATGTAATTATTAAAGTGAGAACTAATATTGTTTTAACGCACTTTGAGATGCTCTTTTGCACTTATACATAATTGAGCATTTATATCAACTTCGAGCTTGAATCTGCAGGAGTATTTTGCTGTAGGAAACATTTATATATACTTTAAGTGAGGTTTGTATCGAATTCTGTCAACAAACTAGTGATTTTGCTCCATTGATTTAAATATAGGTTTCCAAGTACTTAAGTGTGCAAATATTGTTATCGACAAGTCTCAAGTTTGTGCAACTTATAAAGTGTGTGTCTCAAAACATATTGTTTCCTTATCAAACTTATTTCGGATTATAGATTAAAGCGAGAAAATTACCAGTTTTAATTAAGGCCAACTATAAATATTTACGATTTCTCGAAAATTCCAAGAAAATCTTTTTTGGCCGCACTTGAACGATTGCCGGTGCGATGAAAACGATATAACTCTTATGAGACAAAATAATATATGCCAACATTAAAGCCACCGATTATTTACTATCAAAATCATTATTTAATTAATGAGGCAGCCTTAGTTTAGCAACAGAAATATGACAAAATCAGCATGCATTACCGATATAAGCACTTACATGTTTTGCATTGATGCCTTAATAGGAATGGCATTACTTAATAATTAAAACGTGCTATTTATCTAATCCGCTTTCTTCAAAGATTAAGGATAAATTTTCTATTTATGGAACGTTAACCTATTTGCACATTTATGATTAGTGTACGATTCGTTTTCATCTGCCATACGAATGAAATCGGTGCCAACAATTCGCTACTTGTTAAGCATTTATCTTATTCTGATAAAAATTTCATCTTTTACAACATTTTAAAGTTTGATTCTTTGCTTAGTTTAGACACAAGGCAAACTTATAGTAAATACCAATTATCAGGGTCTCTTCTGTTGCTAAAGGGCTCCGACTGTTACTTTTGAGATTTACACACACAACATGACAAAAAAAATTGATAATTATCCTTTAATTACAGTTCATTTTTGGTAATTTCTAGCTCGTAAATTCAGAGCCTTCAAGCGGATCGGCAGCTGCTCTTAAAGCAGTAAAGTGTGGCCATGCTTATAATTTTTTCATTTCATTGTTCTATTCACAATTTCGTCGCTAACTGAAAGTAAAATGGCTTTATTAATTTTAATGAACAACTGAAAACGCAAGTTTGTTGTCATTCAAGCCATTCTTTTTCGCGACATCCCAAAAACTGAAAAACTGACTAATTTCATGTAATGACCGCAAAAGACCAACTTTTGTGATCAAATTAAATGTTGTTATAGATGCATTCACATTTAAATAATACGGACAAATATTCAATTGATTCTTTAAGCAAAGACAGATAGTTTTTTAAAATGTTTAGAAAAAAATGTTTAAATAGTTTAGATTGAATCGGTTTTTTTCGAATAATTTAAGTTTCGTCATTGCGGTGATTCTAATTTCTCCCATCATTACTGCAACCTCTAACATTTTCATGCCATTTTGCTCATCCTTTTAAATTCCCTGCCGCACTGATGAAACATTTGACCTAGGCAACGAAGCATGAACCTACTATTATTGTCTGAGTCTGATGAGCATTAAGAGTAGTGACATGTCTCCTTAAACCGAATAATAATAATCA